TACACACACACAGACATCTATTAGAGAGGAAAATTTTATATAGTTAAAAAAGTGATCTATGGCATATAGCAAGCACCTGGAGCTGCGAGAACCCATTCTCAGATTTGGCTACTGATTCTTCTCCTGATGATGTGCAGCAACATTACAGAATCACATCTAATGAAAAGTGCTTTGTCAGCCTGGACTTTGCAAGAGCTCATGAATATGTGAAGCCCATCCCGTTACATTCGTATCATGCTCTGCCCAGTGAAAAGAGCTACTATGTACTGAGGCACCTTATTTCAAACAGCAGCATCTTCTGTACCTAAAAGCTCCTCCTGATAAAACTAAAAGCCAAAATCCTTGCATACAGCGAAATATTTCCAAAGAAGCTACTGTGTTGTGCTCTGACGTTCTGAAACCTATTCTTGGAAAAGCTTGCTATAGAATGCTAATGTCTTTACAGCTTCTCCCCCCCTCTTTTTTAAAGGAGCAAGAACTGAAAAGTCAGTCATAGTGGGCCTGCATCTATGTAGTGGTTATATTATCTTTTGCTCCTTTCATTTTGTATAAATTACATTTAACGCACTAAATGTATGCTTGTAAAAGTAAATAAACACACATCATCACAAGAACACACAAAACAAAAGCTATTGAATAACACTGCATTTCACTGTATCTCTTATTAGGGGTTTCACGGAACATGCCCAACACCTTAAAATGTAATACTAAGCAAGCCTACATATTTCACAAAGATATGGAAAACATCCAGTTAAAATGCAGCAAGGCCAATCTGATAGCAATGCAGTATTATTAGCATAAGTTGCTTCCCTTGCTAAAAGCTTGATTCTGCCATTCCTACAGATACAGGGCAGAAGTCTGCTCAGAAAGCAAGTACCTCTTTAAATCAATGGTGCTTTTTACAAAGTAGCATCCTTCTCAGTGCCAACATCAGTAACGCAACTGGCCCTTTGTGATTTAACCGTGCAATATCAACTACAGCTAAAGAAGTTATAGTTGATTAATTTGTTTTCTGAAAAAGAAAAGGAGAATACTGCTGCCTCTGCCCATGAGCCCACCTTGAGGTCAATGGTAAGAAGCGGGTAGCTTTCCATCTTTGCACTCCCATCCTCTGCCTGGAGACACCACCTTTTAAATGGGATGTACACAGCACTGGCACACCTCTATTTTGACCGCAGTAGCATTAGAGAGGAAAAGGGGGTGGGGGGAAGATTTTTCAGATATTTTTCAGAAGCACTCAGGTACAATGGAATTCTATTTGCCAAGTGATTTAGAACCAAATTTTCAAAGTTGTAGACCTGTCTAAAAGACCTGCACAGACGTCACCCCAGCGAGACTTCTCAAAGGCACCAATGCGAAACAAAAGACAACAGCTCAGAATTCAAAGTTAGTTATTCTGGCTATCGGCTGGTAGCGCAGCTACTGTGCTCAGAGATTACTGTGTTCATGATAATTGCACAAAGATTAATTACCAAACTGTCTCTGCCCCATATCTAACTGTTTCGCCTGTTGCCCAACAACCCACTACAATTCTTGTCCAAATTCCATGACCAACCCTGCCAAATGAGTTCTCCTTAACTTCATGCATTGTGTGAGTGCAAGTACAAGCTATGCTTCAAGTTTCTGCATACAGGGAACTCAGAACAGATACTTCATTTTGATTATTGGGAAAATTGCACCACTGAAGCCAACATCACAGTCATTTGTGCACATCACTGAAACGGCTGCAGCATCATGCAGAACTGCAACATGCACTGACATTTGGCAGCAGAACCCACGAGCCATCTTCACAGGCTCAGAGAGAATATTCAACCGTGACACACTGAAAAAAGTCTAGGTTTCTTGAAACTGTACTAAAAAGCTCAGCTGTCCAAACAACTTTCAAACTTGCAGGGTTTTACATTACTCAGTTTTACAGAAATAATTGAGATAAATAATTACAGTGTCACAAGCCTTATCTTTCCAATTTTCATATCAGAAAAAGTCTGAAAGGATTTTGATTACCTTGCGCTTGTCTGGACAATGATTTTTTTTTTTCCCCCCCCCCAATCACACGTTTATGATCTTTATAAGATGTTGCTTCTTACGGAGAGTCATACTGCAACAATCCATAAGGCAGCTAAGACTGAAGATGTTTCGAGAAGACCCCTTCCTCCAGATCAAAGGTGGAGTGATGCAAGATGCTTTCACTTTTCATCACTGCCCTTATGTCAGCAATAAACGTGCCAGAGATCATGCAAGCCCTCCCTAATCCCATTTTAAATGAGCTGGCTTAAAACAGAGTAAGAGACAATTAGCCACAAGAACTGCCACCGGAAGAATACATCAGCAACATCTTAAACTACCTCAGCTATTTTAAAATTGGATTTGCCCACACCTCTACTTCAGTAGAGATGTGCATCATGCTGCCAGAGCACATTTCAGAGAAGGTGCATAAGCCATTTTGGTACAAGTGAATCACTTCAACAATATCAGTATAGTTAACGTAGTACAAAGTGGCAGGGAGCAAAATTAGAAAGTATTTCAGGCCAATACCAAGCGCTTTGGTAGTTTGCACAGTAACTGTGAAAAACAGAAGTGGATTTGAAAACCCAGAATTAAAAGCAGCCACAACTCACTCATTCTGCTCTTACAAAAGAAACAAAAAAAGGCCAAACAATTTATTGAAGGAAGAGAACAACCCTCTCTGATTTCTGTTCTCGAGTTCCTCTTTTGGCATCTAGTGACTCACGGCAGAATACCTGTTCCACTAATATCTGCTCATAGCCCTCAAAACCCACAAGATTTTCTCCCTCAGTATTAAAATTATCCAATTCAGGAGCAATAGGAGCACAGAGTATGTTTCTCTATCTTGTTGTTGTTATTAATTAAGTACCATTTGCTGCTCCTGAATTGCTATTACATAGTTGCACTGGGTGGGTGTGTTAGAAAGTAATGGAAGATGGATCAACAGCTGTAGTTATTATGAAAATTATGGCAGCACATCAGAGGAATTGCAGCTGCTCAATTCATGCAAATAAGAGCTACTTGACAATGACTATAATTACACAGCATGTCAAACAACATAGCTAGAGTAAAAGTAGAGACTACGTATTTTAGAAAGCCAAAAGACTTCCATTTCGTTACGTTCACATTCCCTAAACTCCTATTTAGGGATAACAGGATTCACTTTCTGTCAATGGCCTCACAGATACAGAAAGGTCTACTAAGCCCCCCAGGTGCGTTTCCCTGCCAATGCTGCAGCGGTCAAACGCGGGACCCCTCTGCCCGTGTACCAGGCATTTATAACACTGCCCGTACTCAGGGACCACAGTCAGAACTGGGGTTCCAGTTCACCAGGTGCTGTGTAGACATGAAGAAAGTTCCAGCCGCATCTGGTTTCAAAGCAAAGGAAGTTTGCTTCCGAGTGGCTCATACAATGTAGATACCATCTCCTCTATCCAAAGCCTGTTCCCCATATTTGGGACAGCACTGTAACCCTCTAGTTTATTTTGCTTAGTATTACTTTTGAATGTAAGTACTTCAGGTGCTAAGGCTCTCTCAACACCTTTCCTTCTCTTAGATAAAAACATCACTAAAAGCTCCTCATTTTCAGAGACATTTTATTATTTTAATTTCTTCCAGCTCCTGTTCTGCACTCAGCCTCTTTAATTAAAGCCTTCTGTTTTTCGCTAGTTGTTTCATGCTGGCAAGTCCCTGCACCTGCATGGAAAAAAACCAGGGACAGAACCTCATTGCTTTCTTCTGCATCTCAAACTCCTTTAAAAAACTGTACAGCACAAAGTTATGTTAAAAATAATAAACCCAGTACACAAAATACCAGACTAGTGGGGAGTTTTATTTATTTATTTTTACTTTTCACAGTCACATAAGGAGACATAAGGGGACATAGACTCGGGTGAGGCGTTGGACCCACTTGGTCTATGACACAGCTGGTTGCTAAAGCTCCTCACTGTTCTTGTTTTACACAGTGATTCAAACTGTATAACATGACAGTAAATAACCTTTCCTCTGTACTATCAGGAAGCCCAAACTTTTTTCCTGTGAAGTCTGCTGACAAAGCCCAGTTCCTAATGCCTTGAAATTCAGGGACCCAACTCCTGGTAAAAGCAGTACTTCAAGCATCCCACATTTCATAGGTACAGTCATTAAATCACCAACCCAACATGGCAGCTACTCAAACTGTTGATCTTACCTGAAATCACATGCCGTGGTAAGTTCTGCTCCTCCTCCAACAGCTTTTCCTTGGATTAGCGCAACGCTGATCAAAGGCAATCTACACAAGAGAGTTTTGTAACCAAAAGTTATGCTTTTAGTCTTCTAGAAATTATAGAAGGATTCAAACAAACCATCTCTATAATAAAAGATCAGAAAAATATACTGTTCTAACTCATTCGAATAACTATCGTTGTGGGTAAGTAACACAATACCAATTCCACTTACACTAAAATGATTATTCCATAATTAATATGGAATCCCAAAATGAAACAGCAAGACAGATATATCAAATGGAATCAAAGTAAAGATGATCACATACTATGTTATGAAAAATACATACTACATAAATACTACATAATACATACCTAAAAAGACTGTCTGCAAGAAGGAGCGACAGGACAGCAACACAAGACCCTACCCTAAGCCAGTACACTACAGAAAGCAGTAAAAAGGGACATGAAGAACTGCATGGCTGGGTTATCTAAAAATAATGATATTCAGCATGATACCTTCAGCAGCTTCTTCAGAGTGCTACCATCTCAGTCATCAACAAAACTTTTTTTTTTTTTGAGGACAAAACCATCCTCTGAGGATAGCAACAATCTGTTACCTTTGATGGTGGTGTATTTAATCATGCTCAAGGTATTTAATCATGTTCAAGGTAATTCAAAGGA